AGAGCTGATTTGTACAGCGAAGTACCTATTTGAAATCTAAGGACTATTTTTTATTTAAAATAAAGTTATTGCATGAGTAGGTCTTTGGTGGATTACTTTTAAGAACTCAGCCACGTGTTCTTTGCTGTCTCGCTTGCCTCAATGGTGGGTACAAAAATACCAAAAGAGCGGGGCTTTCTTGTGGGGAGGGGTGTATTTACCCTTCTTTAATGCATTACTTTTTCTTTTTCCTGCCTTTTCGGTGCTGTTAGGTGGGTATGAGCTTTGCTTGCTATGGCGAGTGAAAACACGTGCTTTTTCTTTCTTTTCTTTTTCTTTAAGAAACCAAATTTCTTAGCCTCTTTGTAAACTGTAATCATCTCCAGACCAGAAATAGCTGCACTTCTTAAAACCGAAGATTCCTATCATTACATGTCTCACTATTTCTAGTGATCTGCAAATATCAGCCCATTTCTTGGATTTCCAGGGCCGAGTCGCTCTTCGCCTCCTCCTCCGTTCCAGGTCAGCTCCTGGGAGAGGAGCCTGGAGCTCCCTTTTGGACACACGAGCTCCCTGTGCCCAGCTGGTGCAGACACCGCGTCCTCTCGTGCTGCAGGGCAGACTTAGCACAGAGCTTCTGGCCTCGGTGATTCTGTTCACAGCGAGTCTCCAGGCCTGTTTATAATGACTTTCTTGAACGCAAAGTTCAGAGCAAACGAGGAGAGTGGTGTTCCAGTCAAAATGTCTAAGTGTTACAGAGACAGTACTTTTAAGACAAGAACCTGTGCGATTTTGTCACTGCCTTTTCTTATAATGAAGGATTAGACCGTTAGCAGGTAGTGAAGCTGGAGCAGGGCAAGAGATAATTATCTGTGGAGCACTCGAACTTGCCCGTGGCTTTCTTGACACTAGGTACTGCAGACTCTTACTTAGTTAATTATTTTACCTCAGGAGGTAGTTTATTGTGGTGGCAGTAAATTCACTTGAGTATAGATCTGCCAAGAAAAATTATATGGAGATGCAGTTCAGCCTGCAAATGACATTGCTGTTACGAGGGCAGAGAAGGGACCGTCTTGGTTATCACACAGTAGTTGTTCCTCACAGCTACCTCCCTATATTGCTGCCTCTAATGGGAAGCACGTTGTGGCCCCAACCCCATTTCCTGATTGCCTAGATATTTTGCAGCATATTATCAAAAAGTTCTTCCCCTTTCCCTTTACCTCAAGGCCTCTTTGCTGTTGCAAGTAATATTATTAACCATATACTACGCACATTATGATGTGCATTTGAGGAGAGACACCAGGGTTCTCTGTAAGGATTTCTGCTTGCAGCTGTTGAAAAGCAGGTTGCATTGATATTCTGCCTTTAGAGTAAAGTGAATGTGTGTGTATTTTCCCCTGCACAATGCAAAGGGGTGCATTTTTTTTTTTTATTAAAAAGCTTAACAAGTCAGAGAAGCATATGTTGTTTTATCCTCAGCTTCCTGAGATGACAAGAGGACTCCTGGCTTCTTCATTACTCGTAGTGGCATGGAAGCAAATGCCTGGTGTGGGCATCCCAGTTCCGAGTATTGTAGAATGAGCTCTAGCAGAAAACCACGTGGTTTTGCAAGCAAGAGTTTTCCAGGCCATGGAGAAATGCTCCTTACTGCTTGTGTTTCGATCTTTCTGCAAGGGGAAGTAGAAAGAGCATGTGTTCTTTGTAACCCTAGTACAGCTAGAGTGGAAATCAAGTGAATTTTAACTAATTTGTTGTGTGAGAGAACTTCATGATGTATAGTATAGTCTTTGCAATGTGTATAAGCCCTCCGAAAGCAGCCCTAGCAATTAATCTGACAAACTAATCTGACAAACTATATTGTTTTTAATTGAGGGTAGCACTTGGAGGTTGTGGTGATGACATGTTCCTCCACACGGAAGACAGATTTATAGGTTGTCGCTCCTGGTTCGTCATTACTGCCCATCATCTCAGTCCTGGGTTCTCACCAGGGTTCACTGGCCATTTCACTAGTTTGTTTCTAACAACAAGTAAATCTGATTTTATTAATGGTCTATGCTAGCTACTTCTCGATTATGGCTTCCTCTCTTTTTCTCTAATTGCATCACAGTAGCAGCAAAAGCAGTAAAATAACCATCACAGCTCTGCCTGCACAGATTTCAAGTGTGGACTTATCTTCTGCAGTGCCGCTGTTGTGATTCTGGCACTCAGTACAAGGTGAAAGCACTTCAGACATGCTGCTTGTTGAGTTTATTGTGTATTGGGAAACCAATCCATCAGTGTCTACTCCCTACTCTTTCAATTTCTAATATATATATATATATATAAAAATATTTTAATTAAAAGTCCAAGATTTTTTTTTTTGTATCCCCTTGTGATGACTTGGAAGCAGTTGTATTCATTGAGATATACATTGACCTTGAAACAGGGCTGCATTTCTGCTGAGTAGTAGCAGCAAACTGTAATGACCTTACGAATTTTAAATTACAGCGGAGATGCTAGGACTCCTTAGCTAAAGCAGTGATTTAAATGGTTACTCCTTGTCCTTTGATTTGTTCAGGAATTTGTTTTTAAGATGAGGGTGGTTGGGGGAACTTCTGAAGCTGGATTATGACCATGCGGGAACTTGCACAGGTTTATTGCAATTCACAGCTGTTGAGTTGAGCAGCTGTTTAGCTGTATGGAAGTGGCATTAATGATGAGCAGTGCTGATTTATTAGTGATGACATTAACACTGACTTTATGGTTGAAGTGCAGAAAGGTCATCAGCAGAAGTGTCATCAGTGCCAGGTCATGGCTGCTTCCTGCTGGGCTCATGGTTGTACCCAGAGGGAGAAAACTGCCCAGTCTGTAGCTGCTGTGTCTGGCAATGCAGGCATCTGGTTTCATAGTTAGGTCACCTCTTAATGACAAAAGTCTTTCTGCTTTGAAGTTCATGTTTGCAGAGCAGTGAAGTACTTTCCATGTTGTAGGGCTGAAGCTGAGTTCCCTGCTCTGAAGGTTTGAGATATCAGCTTTTGTCTTAAAAATGTTGTTACCTGCAGTTACAAAGAGCGCTCAAGGCTGCTCTCACCCTGGCAGGGACCTTGGCTTGCTTGTGTGTGTGCTTGAATCCACTCTTTGGTCTGTGTTACTTTTGTGTGGGTTCTAGAGCAGAAGAAGGGGAAATGTGTTAAAAACGAGGTCATTTGAAATAGTCAGAATGAAAGTGGGTCTGTGTTTCAAACAAGTGTGTTAAAATTGTAGCTGAACTTCAAGGACTCCAAAGACATGTGATCAGCTTGTGTGCTAAAGCGATTACAGTTTTTAATACTTTATTTTTTGCAGTTGGACATTAGCATTGATTACTCCTTTTATACTTTATGTTCTGTAGTTAAGCAGTGCTAAGTAGCCTGGGCTTATGAATTGGTGGCAAAATTGATGGCAAATAAGGACTCCTTGAGTATTCTAAGACTCTGAAGTCTTAGTAGTTGAACATGGGTAGTTCATGGCAAAGTTGGGAACTTTATAGTTTCCATATATATAGTGGAAAATATTGGCTAGGCCGTCCAGTGGCTGCTGTGTTCTTGCCAGTTATGACCAGTTTTGATTCAGAGTGGATCCAGTTTGTGCATGTTGGGTTTGTTAAATGAGCTCTATGTTACCCTGTGAAAGCAGGGAGGCTTCTTGAATAGCAGGTTTCATAGCTCTCCAGCACTTGCGTAAGACGGTCCAGGGATGATTATCTTTCTAGGAAGTTCCTTTGAACCAGAAGCTTTTGCTCTCAACATCTTTGTAAAATGTCACATTTGAGAGATGTGGGAGAGGGGAAACCCTTCTAGAATTTGTCTTTTAGAAAATGTCAATGCTGAAGTACTGATAACTAGACTAAATAGATTTGCCTAGAGCTCTATGGTTTAACAGAAACATTTGTGTGTTTTTCCCATGTTTTTTGGCCATTTTTTGGTGGACTACATAAGGTGGACATTACTGTATTGGCTCTCATGTTTAAATTGAATATTTAGCGTATATTTTAATAGCCTCTCCTTCCTGCTTCTTTCCTTTCTTCTCTTAATTTTCATTTTGTCATCAGTATTTTGAATTTCTTCTACAAGCTGGAAGTGCTTGTGCGTTTTGAAAAGGTGTAAGAGAAGAGAAAACACAAGCATTCCTGGTGTGTTTCCATCTTTCGTGATAGAACAAGCAAGTGCCTGGGTTATTCTTGAGCAAGGTTCTGTCTCACTTTGTTTCAATTAGGAGGATATTGAGCTCTAGACATGGGTGAGTAGAATTGCAAGGTCTCTGCACTGGTACTGCACCGCACTACTCTACTAAGGATGAAGGAAAATTGTTCTGAGAAGATTTTTCGGGGGAGAACAAAAACTTCGGCTGTCTGTCGACCTTTTTGTTGAGTGTGAATTTTTGCCGAGTCCTTGGTGAGAGCAGCACAGCTTTGGACCCACATGAGGAAGCTCTTGAGAATCTTTTCATCCCTTTACTCCCACACCTTGCTGGGGGTGCTTTGGAAATGCAATCACTGTGGCTTGCCCACGGTCAGTGCAGGCAGTGTAGGAAGCTGCTGGTTCACCTGGAATCTGGGGCTGAGGTTTTCCACCTGGAACTGAACAGGAGCCTTGTACAAAGGTGCTTGTATCGTAGCACAGCTGAGTTGGAAGCTGAATTCTCAAGGCAAGTGTTTGTGGGCTTTGCTCTCTGTTGCCATCTTGGGGTGAAGGCTGATGGTCGTGAGAGGTTGGAGGTGGGCAGCGGGGAATGAGCTGCAACTCATTCACTAGTGATCTTTGTAGTGCAGTCAGTGTTTCTGTTGACAGTTGCTTCAATATTCAAAATATACTCCTTTTAACCTGTCTTTTTGCAGTAATGCAGGGATATAAATAATTTCAGTCTTGCTAATTTTTTTTTAGACAATCTACTAAAGGGAGTATCTATTTGGAAGCCTTTCTAAGGACAGAATCAAATTATGTATATAGCTTAAAAAAAACAGTGTGATATTCAATCTTGTTTTTCTTCCCTCTCATTGGCAGGTTTTCTTCACTAGTGCAGTGTGAGAAACAGATTGGAGAAGATGAGTGAGCTGGAGCAGTTACGGCAGGAGGCAGAGCAGCTGCGGAATCAAATCAGAGTAAGAATTGCTGCTTCCCTATTCCTCATGACAGAGTTTCTGCTTTGAAAGAAAAAGGCAACCAGATCTATCACGTGCTGCCCTGAATAAGAGGGAGCCTGTGAAACTCCATTCATAATATTTCTGGAGAAAATGTTTTATTTCCTGTTGAAATATAGTATGTATTGTCACTCCCAGTGTTTGTATGTTTATGCTTTTTTTTTTTTTTTAAATTTTAGATAAATAAAAAGCAAGCAGCAATTTGCTGGGACTTAAGCACAGCAAAATGAGATCAAAACTATGAGGAAATCTTATTTCAAAACTATTAGGAAAGCTTATTTCTGCACTGAAAATAACCACTATATTGTCACTCTTTTGATAAGAATGCAGATTAAAGCTCAGTGTGAGGAAAGCTTTCCAGGGTTGGTATCACATCTATAGGCTCCATTTCTGTGTTTCACATGAATTTATTTTTAACATGTGGTTCCTCCCACATCCACTACATTTTTGTTCAAAATACTCTGGTAGATAACTGAGTGTTAGCTGCCAGCCACCAACTCAGTTTAACAAGGAACTCTTGTGGTTTGCCTGCTAAGACGGTGGTGCAGCTCTCAGGAGAGAAAACTATGTAACATAATAAGCATAAGAATCTCCAACAGTATTTTGTATTAATATTTTTCCCCTCAATACAAGGCATTTATAAATTTATATGATCTCTATTTCTGTGGAAATAATTTATTTGCAAATATTTTTCCAGTCTTTTTTTTTTTCCCTCTTTCAATGTAGCATCTGCTGGCACTAGCTATTTTGGGGTGATCTGCGGCTTTAGAGCATTGACATTAGGCTGCATTTTAGCATCAGCTGGGCAGTACATGTGCTTTACATGTTGGGGCTTTTGGATGAAAAATCCTGCTTTCGTGAGTGGTCAGTATCATCCATGCAGGGGTCTGTGTCCTATAGTTGCTGTTTAACTCAGCACCTTAATGAAAGCCAAACCTGAGGCCAGTCAGTTCCAGCACAGAGTAACCTTCCTAGCAACTCTGCAGAAGAATGCAAATTTTAGTTTTAAAATACCATGTTTCAAGAAGCTTTCTGACTAAATAACTCAATCACTTACCTGTGTTTTTATCTTGATTGTTAAATCAGGAGACAGGTTTTTTTTTCTTTTTTTAAGCAACTGTTTTATTCTGGATGTGGGAAGAATAAGGCTAGATACAGGCTGTAGAATAAAAGCAGTTTATTTAAGTCTGCATATTCAGTATGTTGGTCATTTTCCAGAGTTTATTGTTCGATGCAGTTCTAGAAAAGATGTGCTGTTCGGCATCAAATGCTAACAGCATTTGGTGTTTTCGGTTTAGGTAAGAGTTTGCCACAGGTCTTTTTACCTGGTACTTTAGTAATATAATCACAAAAAATCACCCTGTGTTTGTACATAGCAGATTCCTGAAGCAGAATAAGCTGCAGTGCAGTGTTGCCAGTTTTCAAATCGACTTTTTATAGTCTGCAGTGTTTTCCAAATATTGGAAGTGTTTTCTTTTATATACAGTATCTAGCTGGTGTGTTTACCTTCACCTGCACGTGCAGTTCTTACAGTTGTTGCTCTGTTCTGTACCCGAGTACAGTGTGCAGGATGAGTGAAACAAGACCACAGAAATTCAAGTGCAAGAAGTTTGAAATATCAGAGGATGATGAAGATAGCAGAATATAAAGAGTGGCTTTGTAAATCAAGTAGATTCCTGTTTCTGCCTGTAATAAAGTTCCCGTGTGATGCTTATCCTCACTTAGAGATTTGAAGTGCAGAATGTGATTTGCAGAAGTTTTGGACGCAGCCAAACTGCATCTCAAAGTGAATGAATTGAGTAAAAATACTATATAAAATATTATATAAACTCCTTGAAAATATATAAATGCTAAGTGTGTGTTAAACACACAGATCCACCAGTTCCTTATCAAGGCAATAGATTTTCTTGCATATTTTGATTGTTTTACCTGCAGTTCTGCAACTAGGTCAGTCATATAGCAAGTAGCCTCATGTATCGATGTTGTTGAAAGTTCTGGTTAGTTGAGATTACATTCAGAGTTCATTTTATGTTGAACATCTTCAAGTGCTTCAGCTAAACTGAACAATTAAATCTGTTTTAAAACCCATGTGTTTCTGTGTGTATGAACCAAATCCTGTATGCCAGGGAATTTGCTGCTCTGGTATTTTAAACCCCACATGATTCCAGACAGTGTTTTATAAATATTTCTACAGTTTAAACACTTAAATTAGCTGAGATGACTTAATACACTCTCAAGATGACTTTATATGAAGAAAGCTCCAAAGGGTGGTCAAAATAAACATATGCCAGAAGACTTTTAAAGCATCTTTTTAAGTGTCTTCATTGATTACAGAAGTCAGTTGCAACTGAAATCAGGTTTTGCAAAGCCTGCCTGTTGCAAATAAGGCTCAGAAGGACTCACTTGTTTAAGGTGTCCAGTCAACTGCTCTTATCATACAAATGAGAAAAAAATGTTGATCTCCAAGAGTGGCTGTGAAAATAGCCTGTGTGTCGGGCTTTTGTCGGGCCTATTCTGGTAGAGTGGAATAATGTGCAGAGAATAGCTCACAGGACCATGCAGTGTGAAATAACGGAGAAAGCAGAAATGTGTGGAAGGCGACCACAACCCCATCCCTTCTGCAGGCCAGATGAGACTGGTGCTTGGAGAAAAGGAACATGTCAGCACTGCTAGGACAGAGCAAATGAGTTGTTTGCCCATAATTGTTACAAACGAGCTATTTGCCAGAGCTTTAGATGACCTGGGCAGTGTAGGATGTTAGGGTGGCAGAAGTACATTGCAACAGAAGTTGTCACCCTCTGACTTTTTGTCTTACAAGGATTTGTGGCCCCCAGCTTAAAGTTATCCAGTTGTTAGTCACTTTTGTCAGTTGATGCTCAGGTTGCATTTTAGACTCAGCTTGTTCTGTTCTCTGTTCCAGGATGCAAGGAAAGCGTGCAGTGACACAACTCTTGCTCAGGTATGTGCTTGATCCTGTCTATACCCTACAAATAAGTAAGTTCTGCTTTGAAATTTTAAAAAGTACTGTAAATATTTGAGAGAAAACTCTCATAGCTGTTACTATTTCCATAGCTGTTACTGTTTATTTTATTTTATTTATTTATTTATTTATTTAAAGCATTTGGTAATGACACGTGCCTCTGTGTTGGATAATAAATGAAGACAGTCCTCAGTATCTCTGGGGTTTATTCTCTTTATTTCTAGATCACCACAAGCCTGGACTCAGTGGGTCGAATCCAGATGCGAACAAGGCGGACACTTAGAGGCCACCTAGCCAAAATCTATGCCATGCACTGGGGCTCCGACTCGAGGTTTGTGCAAGAGATTGGTAAATCTGCTTGGGGTTGGAGTCTGGGTTCTCTGTGTAAGAATTAATATCAGTTTGGGGAGCAGTGTTGTCTTTGTACCTTCACAGGGGATCATGGACCATGACTTGAGGCTTTTTGTTTGCTTTTAAAGATATTTTGCCTTTTTAAGGCCAGCGAGGATTGTATAGTAAGTAGTAAAAGAAAAGATTTGTGTGACAGGAATTTTGCTTGTTCCTACCACAGAGGTCTTGACTTTTCCTTCTTTTAGCTTAAGTGAAGTTGTGTGAATCCCCTGAAGTGGAGAGTATCTAATGGGGCGCATTTGTGCGATGACGGGTTTTGTAATTCCCAAAATGTCAAGTAATTATATAGCATCTCAAGTATGTTTTGGTCTTCATATTCTCAATTTTTTTTCCTTTTTTTTTTTACTTAATTGAAAAAGATTCTGTGTCTGTAGCAAGTAAAGTTACTGGGTACCCTAGTAGGGAGGGACTTTGTTGTGCACCCCTGTGAGGGTAGTGGGTTTTTTTTGTGGGTTTTCTTTTGGGTTTCTGTTTTTTGTTTGAAGCAACTAATGGTCAGACATTAGTAGACCCATATGTTCTGTTCTCCCTCATATAGTCCAGAAAGAAGTATTTCTAAAATCGGCCTTTGAGACTTTTTTTCCCCTAGCTTTAGTGTTCGTCATTGTATAGCTCCACAGTTAAAATATTAGTGTATGAAAGATAAAAGCCAAATGTGGGAGAGTTTATAAAATATGTGCCTTGAGAGACCTTGCTTGTCTGTTGTTAATCCCGAGCCCCTGTGCACAGTGGGGGTTCATCTTGCAGGTAATACACAGTTCTCTGCAGATTTTCCAACAAATGCTGACCTTAAAGATAAATAAGCAATGGGAAATAGGGAAAGTCTTTCTGAATCACTTGGTAGTCATGCACGACATATGTCTATTCTGAGAACTATTTTTTTTGGTTTATTTTACATTAACATTCTATTTTTGTGTTTATATTTAGGCTACTAGTCAGTGCCTCTCAAGATGGAAAATTAATCATTTGGGATAGTTATACAACAAATAAGGTAGTTATTTATAAAACATAACAATAATTCATGCCTAATTTGTCTATTTAAGCACTTTGCTGACTGGTTTTCCATGTTTGCAAGTTAAAAGTGAAAAAGTGTTTTTTGTAATTTAAGATTTTCCTGTTTTAGTTTCTTCCTTTTGTGACCAGCTCCTTCCTAAAGACGTGTCAGTCTTGCAGAGTTAGTTCTGTGTAATGCAAAATGTCTTCACTGCACTTTGCTAGTACAGTAGCTTGTGGTTTTTATGCCCTGAAAAATTTGCTTCTGAAATGAATTCTTTTGGTTTGCTTTAAATTGTAGCAACATATAACCTCAGAATTTACAAGAATACTTTGCTTTTGGGGTTAGAGGAAGAAGAAGAAAAGTCAAATGAGTGAAGTTTAGGTAGAGTGTGGAGAGATTATCTGCTGCAAATTGTCCAGTGTGCACATAGATGTGTGTGTGTGTGTGTGTGTGTGTGTGAAATAAGATTCGGAGAAGAGCAGAATAAAGAAATTAGGGTAGAGCAGGGGGTTGTTGTGTTTCTTTAGGTTTAGACCCATTTTGCTGGTCAGTAAATATGAAGGGGGTTCCCCCACGTGAGTGGAGGCGTGCGACCGAGGTGCAGGCCGGCGGCTGAGCTCTCTCCTCTCCCGTCTCTCCCCGTTCTCCCTTTTCCCTCCTCCTCTCCCCTCTCCGTGTGCAGATGCACGCCATCCCCCTGCGCTCCTCCTGGGTGATGACCTGCGCCTACGCTCCCTCGGGCAACTACGTGGCCTGCGGCGGCCTGGACAACATCTGCTCCATTTACAACTTGAAAACCAGGGAGGGCAACGTGAGAGTGAGCCGAGAGCTGCCCGGACATACAGGTCAGGCCTGCCCTGCTTCCCACTTGGGTCTTTTCGTTGCGGGCAGTGGAACAGCTGCACTCTGAGGTGTGCTGTGAAATAACTTGGTTGGTTTGCATGTTAGAGACGGGAAAACTTTAATTCCTACTTCGGGATGTTAAACTTCAGTCATTCCCTGAGGTGTAAAACTAACCTAACTGTTCTGTTTTTAGGATATTTGTCCTGTTGTCGCTTCCTAGATGACAACCAAATCGTCACCAGCTCAGGAGACACCACTTGGTTAGTTTCTGAGCTCTTGGCCTCCCCCTTTTCCCACAACTTAATTTACCTTAATTAACTGCAGCTCTCCTCTACCTGATGGCGCGGTGCTAACGCCCTCCTTTGCTCCGCAGCGCCCTGTGGGACATCGAGACCGGGCAGCAGACCACCACGTTCACCGGGCACACCGGGGACGTCATGAGTCTCTCCCTAAGTCCGGACATGAGGACTTTCGTCTCGGGTGCCTGCGACGCCTCCTCCAAGCTGTGGGACATCCGCGACGGGATGTGCAGGCAGTCGTTCACCGGGCACGTGTCGGACATCAACGCCGTTTGTGTGAGCAAGCGCCCCGTTTCCCCACACATGGGGGGTCAAGGGGATAAGAGCTGTGAATAAGGCCAGCTTATAGTGTACTCTGTTACCTTGCTTTTAAAACAAATGTCCCAGATAGGGAAGAGATTACCAATTGTATAGAACGATCACTTCTTGGGGGGGAAGTAGGTAGGCTCTTCAATATTAGGAGAATAACCACTTTTTAATAACTGATCATCTCATATATAACACTTCTTATTACTAGTATTGGTGATGGATTGAAATGTTTTTGAAATAGACTCAGATCTGCCTTGCCCAACAGCTGAGGCCTTCAGTGCAGCAATTCCCCTTTATTATTTACTTAATTTAGAAGCGTAGAGTGGAGGGGAACTTTGTTCCCTGTGGCAGCATGTTAAAACTGAAAATTCTTGTTAACATGATCTGTCGTGAGGAATAGCCAGGTGTCCCCATCTTAAACTTTCTTGTTTAACAAAGCTACACGTGATTTCTTCCATTGGGAAGAGCTTTCAGCAAAATGTTCGGGAAGGCCAAGTTTAAAATCAGTGCCTGGGTTGAATATTCATCTTTGGAATCATGTAGGGAGCCATTTACAAACTGGCTTGCATTTTCTCTATCATTGAAACACTCTGTTCTGATCTGCAAGATACAAGCCCTGATAAATAGGGAAGGAAACCTAAGCCTAAACTGCATCTGTTTTTGATAAACAGGAAAAATGATTAAGGCTGAGAAAATACCAAAAGCATGAGCAGTAGAAAAAAGGCAGTTCCTAAACTTAGATGGGAGCCCTCATCTGGGTTGAGCTCCTTCCATTCCCCTTTCAGTCAATACGGTCATTGCAGGACTGGCTTCGGTTGGGAGGAGGCTTTGGAGAAGGGATTTCTGGCTTGGGAAGTTCTGTGTCTCCCAGACCCCGTGCAGCAGCGTCCCCCACATACAGGACGTCCCGGGGCAGGTCCCCATTGAGGAGGAGTTTGTTAATTTTAAATACCTCATGAAGCCTTTATCCAGCCCGCTGGGTAAGATCAACCTGTGAGGCTGCTCACATCAGGCCCAGCATCTTTTTGTGGTGTCAAGCTCCTGTCTCTTGATTGAAACTTGCAGTTTTTCCCCAACGGACACGCGTTTGCCACCGGTTCTGACGACGCCACTTGCCGCCTCTTCGACCTGCGTGCGGACCAGGAGCTCATGATGTATTCGCACGACAACATCATCTGCGGCATCACCTCCGTGGCCTTCTCCAAGAGCGGCCGCCTCTTGCTAGCGGGTTACGATGACTTCAACTGCAACGTGTGGGACACCCTGAAAGGGGAAAGAGCAGGTGGGTGCCTGGAACTGAAACGAGACGGAGCTTCCCATTTCCTTGGCACAAAAAGGATTTCCAAAACCTCTGTGGAGCTAATTCCTTGAATTCATTCTCAGTGCAGCTCCTGATGCTTTGGAATCTGCTTTCTTCCTGCTACCACTGTTTTCCTCTGTCCTTTATTATTGCATTTGATCAGATCTTCCAGTTATTACTGCATTGCTTCTTTCATCTTTCATGTTCTAGTGTTACACATCACAATAAGTGATCCTGTCAGTGAGATGCTCCTTTTACTGGGCATTGTCCATTATATGTCTCTGTGCTGGAAGATGGCAGCTTTTGAGGCTAAAGAACACCCTGTAGAGTTAAATTATAACTTCCAAAAAATGGTATGTCACTGAAATGTGTGGAATTAAGAATTACCAAATTAAGAAATTTGCATTGACTTTTGCATCCCCCATAGGAATTTTTTTCCCCTTCTCCTGTAAAAGTGTGTTTTAAAATTTTTGTTATTTGTTTTCCAGGTGTCCTTGCTGGCCACGACAACCGTGTCAGCTGTTTAGGTGTTACCGATGATGGCATGGCTGTAGCTACAGGATCTTGGGACAGTTTTCTCAGAATCTGGAATTAACTGGGAGCCAAACATGTACATTCTCCATTTGAGACCTGGAGAGATCAATGCTGCAGCCTATAGCTGTGAAATAACATTTCTACCTTGTATTTGCAGGTGAAGTTTTTCTATTCACTGATTATTACACAAAAAGGCTTTCTGTAAACTATAAAAAAAAATCAAGTGAAGAAATAGGGGAGGGGGGAAGAAATCACTGACTTTTTAAAAGGGGCCAGCACACATAATCATGGTGACCGACAAACTAAGAGCCAGTCTTTTTGTTTTTGGTGGTTTGGTTAGATCGTCCTTGAAGGGTTTTTGCTTGTGCTCAGAGTCTGCTAATCCTGTACTTTTTTTGTACATAACAGAATATACACATTATAGCAGCCAATCGTGTAACATTTGTCTGTATGTAAAGAAATATGTTTGCATTTTTTAAGGAACTACATTTATAGCTTTGCTTTTAACCTGAGATGTCACTTCTGAGTTTTGTAGTGGATGATCTAGGTGGCTGTTTTAAATGTTTTTGTGAATTTACTGTAGATAAAGTGAAGCCAATGGTATGTATGTGTTTTTATAATGGAAGGCATTTGAATTTTTTTAAAGGCCCTGGCGAGACTCCCAGTTAAGACCTAGCGCCTTATTCACCCACTTCTTGACCTGCTCCTCAGTTTAGTCACGGGGGTTTTTCCTTCAAGCCGGTGGTTCCTGGTTCATCCATTGGCAGCCGTGGCCTCCAGACACCAAGGAGTTAATGCCAGGCAGGTTTGCAGCCACAGCACAAAAGAAAAAGGCCGATTCCCGAGGTACTAGCTCCCTTGCTGCAGCTCTTCACCTACGTTATTCCTTAGGATCCATGGGACTGGAAGCCAAGGGCCCCGCGCGCTGTCCTCGCGTGGCCGGGTGCTTTTCCCTGTGACGATTGGGCTCCGAAGGGGGTGGCTGTGGCCGAGCTGGCTCCGCAGCTGCGGCTGGTGGTAACGGAGCCGTTGGTTCTGCTGCGCGTCCCTGGGGATCGGACCCGGGCTCTTAGTTCCCTGCAGCCCCCCGAGCCCGGGCGTTGCTGAAGCAGAGCGCAAGCAGACGAGCTCCTCAGTTATGTGCAGTGTGAATCCTGAGGGGAATTGTGTAACTTACAGCGAACCAAATAACTTTACTTACCTGTGCGACCCTTCCCGGGTTCCTGCTGTGTGACCTTAGTGATCTGCCTGTTCCCCTGTGGTCACAGCAGTCTGTGCCACGGCCGCCTGTTAGATTCTGGTCATTCTGCATCCTGACACTGTAAATAGCCATTTCCTCGTTCCTGCCCATTTTGGTGTCAGTTGCTCATAAATAGGTTCTGATCAAGTGCACTGGGGTGTAGGGAGAGGGAGGAGCAAGTGAACGGAGCCCCTTACACTGCCCGGGAAGGTTCCTTAAGTCCTTGGTGCCTGGCAGCGCTGGAGGCTCCCTTGGGAATGTGAACGTCTGTGGCCTTTTCCGAAAGGGGGATCAAGTCTGCTGGCTTCTCTTAAGTGACTTATTTTAAACAATCGTATTTGAAATTACCAGGTTGGAGGATCACGTTAATCTCTGTCAGCTAAAGGACTGCGGGGAGTCTGGGTGTCTTTGGGTCAGGTAGTAAATACAAGTGCCCGGTGTTTTGTACTAAACCAAACCAGAATTGTTGCCGAGACCACTAACTTGTCAGGTTTCTGACATTTGTAATCTTAAATTTCAGTACTTCCAGACTGTGCCTGTAAACTTGCCATGTCTACAATGGTTAAGGTGCCAATAAATGTACCAATCGCAGTAAATTCACTTTTTTTTTTTTTTTACTTTTTTTAATAGCACATCTTGTGCTAGAAAAATTTGCATTTACTAGCAGCAGACCGTGGTGTAGGACCAAACTCACACAGCACTGTATGTCACAGGAATTCCTCAGCCTTTTGCTTTCGTGATCTCTGCATTAACAGAGCTATTTGTGTAAGCAATCCTGGCTCCTCTGTCTCGTGAGCAGCTCATCTGGCAACTTGAGTTCTTCGTGGTACATTTGGTTTCTTTTTCTTTATTTTTTAACTTCACAGCTGCCTTTGGTGAATCATTCTGAGAATTTGTTACTAAGAGATTTTAAGAAAGTGTTCTTTTCTAAAAAAAAGATTTTTTTTTTTTCCAGAAAGGGGTGTTTTGAACCAATTTGCTAGTCAACTCTGTTACAAAGACAGGTTGCCCTTTTTACACTCTGGTATTAAAAACGAGTTTCTACTTGCGAGACCCTCCCCGTCGCCCCACGGGGGTTTGGCCCATGGGTCGAGAACTCCTTTCCTTAACAGCTCCGGTGGTCGCGCCTGGCGCAGGGGCTGTTGCCAACACCTGCGCCCTCGCCGCCTGATGGGCACTTGGATCCAGCTGCTCCTCATAAGGCCGGTTAGTTCCTGGCCTGTGAATAGTGCAGAAAACACCTTTAAAAAGAAAAAAGAAGCCTGTGGAATTAGTGGAACACGGTGCTAACATAGAGAGGGCCAAGACTGACTTTGCACAGGCTCTGTATTTTGCTTTTCAAGCAGCTGTCGGTGAGCTGGGATGCGTTGACTAAAATGAAGGCAGCTCCATGGGGAAAGCTCCAGCTCCCTCTTTCTGTTATGAAGAGGGTTATAAAAATAATCACCCTTTGTAGGTTGCACTCGAAAGGCCCCATCCCAGCTTTGCAGCTGAGAGGAATGGGCCGTGCCCAGAGGTTCCCGTGGCCTTAGTGCTGCAGCTCCGGGTGGTTTCTCACTGCTCAGCCTGGCAGCAAACCTGGGCATAGAAGGGCCTTTGCAGCACTCGTAGGTACATCCCCAAGTGTCCAAAAATCTTGGTCGCCCAACTAAGCATCATCTGAATTTTAGATAACTTAGGTAATTACAGCAGTAACTATATGACTATTGTGCCAAAACAATAGGTGGCAAAATAACAACTCTGCGCGGCCCCGTCACGAAGGCAGGGGGTTGTAGCCTGGGGGCCGGGAGCTGCGTGTTCCCTGCAGCAAGACTGCCCTGGTTCAGGTTCGGGTGTTCTGGATTCCAGGCAGCCTTTTCCCTGGCTTGCTTTGCCTTTGTGAAGGACAGCACTGATGAGGCAGACACCAACATTGGGGCTTGTTCTCATGGGCAATGTGCCCAGCACTGGACGGTGCCTCCTGTCCGTGTCCAAGGTGCCACTGGGGACAGGCCGGAGCCGGGCCGGGCTCTGCCCTCTGCCCTGCGTGGGGAGCAGCTCCCTCCCTCATCCCTCCCTCATCCCGCTGGCATCCCTGTGTCCCGCCTGGAGCTCACATCATTGATGTTCAGGTGCAAGGAGCCACGGTGCAAACGGTCCGCGAGCGCGTGGGCTCCCCTCGCCGAGGACACTGTCACCTCCACTAGGTTTAGTGCTGTGCGTTAAGGTGTTGGTGAGAGTCAGTATTGGCTAATTCGACTAGTTGGTCTAAATGGTTGTGTAGCAGAATGACTGATTTTTTTTGAGATAGCATTTCCTGTACAAGTTATTAAGCATGGGTTGATGGTGCACTTTGTATACAGTAACCTGGCATGCATGCTGGTAATAAAAAAAAAAAAGAAAAATTAAAAAAAAAAAAACCCTCCTTCCTCCACTTCAGAGGCACCACAAGCCTTTTTATCCAGTTGCTGGTTATGTAAAATACATGCAGAATGTTAATGCAGTGTTGTTATGGTAAATGTGTGAACAGTGTTACTAATTGATATAACTGATAACAGATACATGTGCCTGACATTCTTATACCACACAGTATGTTTAGGTTTTAACTAATATGGACTTCAGTGGAATAGTCTTAGATATTTCAAGCCTTTGTTTTACTTACACAATGGTGCTCTCTATTTGTGTTTTCTCCTTTTTTTTTAAATAAAAGCATCTGAACACTTGTAGTACATATTACATCCAAAGGAGTCCAAACCAAAATGCATCTAAACATGCTTGATTTTACTTTGCCTTGAGTTTCCAGCATCTCTCATCTGATATAGGTTATATCTTTTTTTTTTCTCTTTTTTAATTGTTGCTGACTACTTTGGAAAACTTCAGTAATGTTACCAATTATGAAGTGATTCTGCACTGCCTTTGGATTGTGTATGTATTCAAAAACAGTCTTAAAGCTTTTATTTAAGCTATTAAAAAACCAGGGACTTGTGCCATTTGTTCTTTAACAGTGCTGTTGTAAAAAGACTTCCCTGTGAAAAAAAAAAAAAGTCATTTGCTATGAACTCTGTTTATAGCTTTTTTTTCCACGATGGATCTTTTCTTTGTATTTGTACAGTGGCTCAGTGAAAGATGTTGCCATGAGTTGATATTGTAACCAATAAACAAGTGCTTTTAACCAGATTCTGTGTCCCCGGTGAAAGCTTCATTAAAGCCATGATGAATACAAAACCATGTGGTTTTATGGACTTTCTCCCTCCAACAGTGGAGCTTGAGTAAAGTGACAGGGGAATGTTAATACTCTACCAGGAGGAGCCTTAGCCAGGAGCAAACAAACCAGCAAGATGTTGCTCCTCCTACCTTCATTCATTCATTCACTCGTTAACAGCCCCACTCGTGTAATGAAGCAGGGCCCAGGCAGGGGCTTGGTGCCTCCAGCCTCTCCTTTCACACCAGCCTTTCTCTCCTGCCACCAGCGGCTTGCTGCAAAACAAGCTCTGCTCCAGCGAGAGCAGGGCAGCCTGAGTGCTGAGGCTGGAAAGGCTCGAGTGGCTCAGACCTTACATTCAGCACGAGCAATGCACATCTATACAGCTGGCAAATAACTTACTGGAGCACAGGGATAGGATTTCTTTAATAAACGTACATACATGCATGTAAAGGTTCAGCTTGATACAAGGGCCATAAAACCGCTTCAGAAGGGAGAATCAATACAGGGAGCACGGTCAGTAGGGCAGAGGTGGAGGGGCAGCTGCCCCCGGCTCATTCCGGGATCTCGGAGCCGTTCTCCTCGTGCCCGGCGCTGAGGGCCGTGGGAAGGCGCCGCGCGGCTCTGGCACAGCCCCAGAACCGCAAGCTGGGAAACCCCCCCCAAGCACTGGGGGCTCCCGCTGGCCACTTATCCCCAGCATTAGGTTCTTAAACCTATTTCCTTTTATGATAGCCCTTATTTAGTGGGAAACAGCAACTCCCTACCTTTTAGGTGTAAGTTTGAATGCTTTGCTTAGTCATGTTAAACATGTCCATAAAAATATATATATATAAATATTCTGAAAAGGCTTTCTCCTTCAAAATAAGTTATTTTTACAAAGTCAGCTTATAAAATCTAGGAGGAAGCGAGAGCAGCAAAAAAGAAACAACAACAAAAAGAAATCCCATATATTATTTTTTTAACTGAAGAAAGGCTGGGAGCTGCTGGAGCGCGGCCGAAGGGCCAGAGCCCCCTCAGGGCCAGCGGCCCCTCAGCCAGCCCGGGGAGCAGCACCCAGCCCTGCTGGCCCTGGCACCCGCTGCCCCTTCAAGACAAACTGGAGCCTCCTTTCCCCTCTAGAAATGACACTCGTCTCCATGACAGGAAGAAGGGGAGCGCCCCGTTCCGCACCTCCGGTTCGGTGGTGTCCGCCGGGAACCGGAGTGTCGGGAACAGCTCCCCCTGCACCCGCCCCTGGGGGCCAGGAAGCAGGGCTGGCCATGGCCAAATACTAATACAAACCAATAGGGATGTGGAGTTTTATTGTTAGGCAGCCAAAGAAAAGAAATTTAGTGTTTTTATATATATGTATATATATCTTTATATATATATAAATATATATATATATAAAATATACACACACACACCTTTTAAACCAAAATTTTCCAACTAACAAAATGAAGATAACATTGAGTACCACAGCTCTTCAGCTGTCAGAGTCCAACCCAAATTTTACAGTAATTAACAAGTTTAATCAAAGTGACATTAAAAATATAATTCATTTCACGTGACTCCACACGGGAGCAGTTTCACCTGTAAAATTTCTACTTTGTCCTACAAAGGGTCACCAGGAAAGGGAGCAGTGACAGCTTATTTACTCTTCTGAAGGAAGTGTTTCGTAAAGCGGTCGAGTTCATTCTCCAGGTGAACGGCTTTATTCCTGCAAAGCAAAGACACGCTTTACTACAGTGCAGTAACACCACAAAGCAGGGAGCATTAACAGCAGCTTCTGCTTTTCGTGCCTCTCTTTATGAAGCCCAAGGCACCAGAAGGATCTTTGGCATCTGCTTGGATGGAGCCTTGGCTCTGGCCCCCGTGGGACACCAGCCACGTGTGACACATGGGGGCCATTCCCCGCCCGGGCTCCCCTGGTCTGGGTGTCAGGGGGCTCTGGGGCTGCCCTGGGGCAGCTCTCCCGGTCCTGCCGCACGAGGTGCCCGCTCCGTGGCCCAACATTCCCACGGTCCCGGCGTGGGAGGCAGCACCAGGACCCCACAAGCACGGCAGGGAGGGCGCCCTGAGCCCCGCGACTCTCCCTCGGGGCCAAGGGCCCCTGGCTCCAGGCAGCCCGGCTGCCTCCGCACTCTGCGCCTGGGAGGGGTCGCTGTGGGTGCCCCTCTATTTTGCCTGTTCTCCAAAGCCCCCTTCTCCATGTGGGAGATTCAGGTCAAACATGATCCGGGGGAGAGCGTTTTGGGAGCCCTTCTCCTTCCCCTGGACAGCAGCGGGCATCTACCTCGTCAAAAGGGACTGGCCCTTGGGTTGAGGCGAGAGCAGAGCAGCAGGCGCTGCCGCACGCGGCTGCCCTGGAATCACCGGTCCCGGTTCACCCGGCCGGGCCCACAGACCTGGGCTATGAAGGTGCCCACACTTACCGGAGCTGCTTGGAGCTGCTCTGGATGCTCTCCAGCTCATCTATTTCCTTGGAAAGCCTAGCAATTTGTTCTTCCAGGTTCTTCTGAGTGACATCCACCTGCTGGCAGAGCCGAGCAAAGGTAGTGGCCATTTCCCTAAAGGGAGAGAGTGCTGCAGTCAGCTTCACTGCACAGGGCCACCCATGCCAGGGCTCAAGGCCCTGTGAGAACAGAGCAAACACTCACAGCCAAACTGAGCTGGGCTCAGTGTCCAAAGGGAGTCAATGTCACTCGCCCCCCCCAACAGCAACTGCACTAACCTCTACATCCTCACAGAAAGGTTTTGGACACGGGGCTACAGCGTCACCCCGTCCCAAACGCACAGGCGCACGTATGGAGCAAGCATTTCAGGTACAAATTTCATGCTCTTCAGATCTCCCCTATTTATTCAGTGGGGAACAGCCTGTCCAAAGGGGACAGCATGAGATGTAAAGCTCTAGCTACCACAGCTCAAATCCACTTCTCACAACATCCCTGACTCCAACTCACTGATAGAGCATTTGAGCAGCAGGTCAAAACATCTCAAGATGCAAGGCTACGTACGGAGCGGGTTCCTGGTCTCGGAGATGAGGCCGAGGGCAGCACTTACTGTTGCACCTGATGGCTGCAGTTGGCGCTCGTCAGGCTGACGATCATCTGCAGCTTCTCGGTAGCGTAGTTGACGAACTGCTGCTTGAAGGCTCTCTCCTTGGCTTTCGTGGTCCACGTCAGCCTCTCGTAGAGATACAACAACCCGTACATGCTCAAGGAGAGAGAGATGAGTTTCCAGCCTACTGTTCTCCAAATCTGAAATAGAAAAATCTTCCTTAGCTTAAGGAAGAGCTGCCATATGAAAAGCAGTCGGAATTGAGAGTATTCCACACACAATCCCACACTATCTTTGTCATTCTCATGGCCATTAAACTAATCTGGTTGAGGTGAACACATCCCTTCCAGTCAGGACTGCATCTATATCACCACGAGCAGGTACCTCGGGTGACCGGCAGAATATGCAGCAGACTACAGAATCCTCACTGCCTTTCACGAGGGAGGAAGGAAAAAGCCAATATCCCACCAACTACCATCAAATCACCCGTTAGTCCAGAAACAGCACACACACATGGAATAAAGAATATGCCAGCCACACTCACAGCCACTGCCTTGCTACACACGGGCAGTCACTTTGTGCTTTCCTATGCAGGCTCATGCAGCGCAGTGTTAGGGACCCCGTGTCCCGCCACGCGCCACCGAATGCCCAACCGGGAAGATTGAGCCCGTCTTGGCCATCGCTTCCAGCACAGGGTAGGGAATGTTGCTAACACTACTTGCCACTCCGCCAACAATGATGATGCTCATAGAGGTCCGTGACGTGAGGGAAGCTAAACTGGTTATCAAAGAAACCATAAATTCGTCGTCCGAGAGGCTCTCCGGAGTCAGGGCAGGAAGGCCAGCAGCCGACGGGGTGGCAGGTAAAGGACGAGGGATCTAGAAGAGCGGAACGTGGCAGCCTAAGTAAAAAGCAGTACTCTACTTGGCAGCAATCTGGTTTCAGCTGTATTATTTTCATATATTCAGGGTTTTATTCAAAGGCAACTGGTTCCCGTAAGCACTGGAGGTTCTGACAGAATCAAGGACTAAAGCTGAATTAGTAATTAGTAAATTTGCTAACAAAATGGTTGCCAAAAGGCTCAATTCAAAGAAAAACAAACCTTAGAAAATAGCTACAGAAACTGTTCTTAAAGGTTTTTTGGGGGGGATTTAATCCATGTTTTTGTTTAACCTGGATATAACCAGTAGCCCTGAATATAATCCAATAAAAACAATGCTCACGGAAACGTGTTTTGGTACAAAGGGACTAGAGGGGAGCAGCAGCAAGCGGGAAAGCAGCAGGAGCAGCTGCAGTGACTCAGTGCTGTGTTCTCAGCGAGGTGAAACAGGGCACGTAACAACACGTGAGCCCGGGCTCTGGAGCACTCACCTGCAAGTTGGGATCTGCTAGTCCTAACAGAACTCTCTGAGCCTGCTTAGGACCCAGGAAACGGTTCACGAGCGAAGTCCATCCCAAGGAGAAGTGGAACATGATGTCCTCTTGAAAATCCGCACACAAACTGTGACAATTCAGGTCATAGCTAAGGTCAAACCTCCTGCACGGAACTAGCAAGTGGAGCTGATTCTGAGCCCCAGAAGGCAATAAAGGTTTCAGATTTTCTGGAAAAAAAGAGGAGGCGTCGTTAGAACCTCTGCAGCACATTCACATGTGGCATCCTCGCACTGGTCCAGCTCTGTGAATGACACCTGTCTAACTGACCAGCTAATCAGGCTTCTTAATTACATTTTAAATCAGTAAGCAGATAATTTGTTGTTCTGGCAAGAGAAGACAGGCAACCAAAAGCAAGTTGTAGAGAAGGCACCACTGGAGAAAGTGTCAATAACTGGAAAGGACATTGTTCCTAAGACCAGGGTGGGCTAAGAGCAAGGTAGTTTCCAGCAGTTCTGTGGTGCCAAACAGAAAAGGCTACAACTACCAAAGAAAATCACAGATGGCTTCAAGTAATTCCATGATTTTCCTCTAAATATTGTATTACCAGAACCTGAACAGAGCAGAGGAGATGGGTGAATATGCAACAATTAACCATAAAAAACAGAGATCTAGGGCAGGAACTGCAGAGGCTTTGTGACCAGCTCACAGCTTCACAGGGCCTGGGGAGGAGATTGTGCTGCAGAAACATGATGTGACAACCACCATGTTTCATGTATCCATTATGGGAGTCGCAAGTTTAAATGGGTTTATAAAAGCATTAGACAAGCTCCCAGAGGACAGGCCCATTACTGCATTTTTAAGTCATTAACCCAGATGCAGTATCTGGTCTCAGAAGTCCCTAAAATACTGATTTCTGGAAGCTGTGGATGGATCAGTACATTTACCCTCATTCATTTTTCTTTTCCCCAAACATTTATTACTGGTTACCGCCACGGACAGGCTATTGAGACAGACTCACTTTTGATGTAGGGTGGCTTTTTCCTTTATCACTTTGTATGTTAAAACATCATCAGAGAGCAAATTCTTTTAAAAGCCTTTTTTAAAAAATCATCCTTCCCTAAAGCCAACCATATGCAAGCTTTTATGGAGCTAAGGGAAACAGGCAGCAAATTTGGAATGAGTTGGGCAATTCTGAGTTTAATTTCAATTCCATGGACTCAGTGTGTGGTGACAGCTGTCAATCACCCTCTACTTTCTTCAATTGAGAATGATCATTACTTCTACCTACTTCACAAGGTAATGGGCTACTAAAAATCCTTCTGAGGATATCAGAACACTCAGAAGGTAAACGCACACATTTCCTTAGATGAGAGCTGTCATTACAGCCCATTACCGTGCCCAGCCTACAGATAGGTCCAACATCCCTGGGAGCAGCTGTAAGGGCAACGCCTGGATTAGCAGTGCCTGGGGCAGGACACAGGCTTTAAGGGTGTCTGCTGCACTAGTGACCCTTGTTCTGACCGCCTAGAGAGGAGACAAAAAGCTCCTATATCTTCATGTGTTTGCTTCTTAGTATTACCAATTATCTCCTGCTGTGACTGATGCATTGACTCATTGACTTCACTGGAGCAACGATCAGCCAAGTTTTTTCCCAAGCCATCTTCTATATGTTTGTTGAGTTCCTAAAGTTTCATAAAGAAAACACACCCATGAATTCCCGCTTAGCTAATCAGGTACCTTATGCAGTTCTGAGATATGTTAAATGCAATGCATTATTGTTTAGCCAATTAAGATGATATTGGAGGATTTCTCCAGGACAGTAATCAGTAGAAAACATAGAAACAAGTCTGTGCTTTCAATATAACTGACATTGAGAGCATAATGCTACCATACAGCCCTGCAAAGACTTTTGACAGGATTCATTTTATTTTAGGAGTTGTCAAAGCTGTTCATGTAAGACCTCTGTTTACTACAAATGAAAGACTACAAATCTGATTTGAAGAACTTCAGATTTCAGTAACCAGTCCGTGAATAGAGGAACAGAACAATTAAGCTCAACTCTCTGCCAACACTAAGTGTATTCACAACTATTTCTACTTTTTAGAAAAACAGAGGTATGCACATCTCAGACAGAAAAATCCTGTAAAGTTTAAGTGAAATGTTGCATAAATGGGTAGATATCTTTTGAAAATATTGAAGACAAAATTAGAGAAAAAAAAGACCCTGGCATGAAATCACACAGAAAAACTTACTGTCTTGTAGAGCTTCAACACTTGTGGAGAAGGGTGAAAATCTGAATAAAACTCATCAACCAAAACCGAAAGCCGGCAAATTTCATCGGTCATGGCAGAGGAGACCTGGAAGAATTTGATAAACACATGACAAGTTCTCCCTACCTTTCCCAGCCAGAGCAAAGACAGGTTACTCCACTAACTGCTACAATAAACTATCCAGTTACTCCATGACTCTTCAAACTGAACTTTTCCTTCATACATCTTTATAGACAGTAAGGAATTTCCAATCACACCTTCCTGAAGCTCACACTGCCTGTGGCTAGCCATATTGTTAATGTTTACGGTAATTAGAAAGAAAATTAATTGGCAGCTCAACGTTTAAATGCGGACAGACTCCCAATCTGTCTGTCAAGTTGCCTAGCACTTGTTCCCACTTGGAAACCTGGAAAGAGCTGAAGTCAGAATGACCCAGTCTGTGACTTCAAATATACAAATTTGAGTAGTATTAATAAAATACCAGGTATTTAATTCACTCCTCTTCTGGAAAGCATTTGTCCTGTCAACCTGTTACCAACTAAATCTGACTTTAAACACAGGAAAATAAACTCGTTTTACGAAAAACCTACTGTGTTACTTACTTTATTTTCTACCTCCTCAGTGACACGTTTGATTTTTTCCTTAGTATCTTCTGTCAAAATGTTTAACTGATTTCGAACAAAGTCCAGCCTGTCCTTCTGATCTTCTCGCTCCTCCATGGACTGGACTCTAGAAGAGCAGAAAGGACATCAGCATCACCAGCAGGTCGACCCCTCTGATCTGTAAGAATCCAGCTGGCTAAGCTAGGCAGAGACTCTGCTTCAGAATGACTGCAATACTGGTATTAAATTTACAGGTGCATTTAAAGGCCGCATTGATCAATTATAGCTCACACTGCTGGGCTTTGATACAATTACAAAAGGAGCATTTGGAATTGGAATTGTTTCTCTGGTAACACGTATTTTAGTGCTTACTGAAAAAGAGGGGAAGGGAACCTTGCAGGGAAGGAAACTTGGGACCCTTTATAGTTAACTCAGAACTCATCCTGATTAATAAATAAATAAATGAGGGAGGGAGAAACCTGTCCTACTGCTGCTCACCAGCACCACTCAACTATTCCTTAGCAGTGACAGTCCGATGATTCTGCAAAGCATGGGGACGCTGGGGAAACAAACCTCGTCAGAGAGAACTTCAGAAGTCCTGGACCTATCATTTAAGTAAAATCTGCCTGGAATCTGAAGCTATTATATCTTGAAGGGCCAGCAGAAACATCAAAATGGCAATTCAGATTAGTAAGGCTCACAGGACAGATTTTGACAGGTCAACTGGCAGGAAGAAATAGAAACCAGAGTAGCTTCAGATTTCACAGCACGTTTTCATAGGATGTGAGAAAGTGAGACAATGAGACAATGTAAACATATAAATACAGACTTGGTTAAAGTTGACATATTCAGGAAAGTGAATATGTTTGACAAGCACGGTGGAGTCTGTTGGAACATAAGGTACATAAGATTATCAGAGGCAGAAAGAAGATGAAGGGTTAAAGACAAAGTAAGACATTTGGGTTCAAGAGAGGCAAAGGCAGCAGAAAAGGTGAGGGAAAAAAACATCCATAAGTAAATCTCAAACTATACATGAAACTATCAGAGAGACATAAGCTACTATTATTAGCATTAAAAGGATTATGGGAAAAAGGAAAGGAAAAATACGTAAGGATACAATCTGAAATGGACCAGAGCTCACAGATGTGAGTTCTCCTCATCCCTTTGGGTATTCTAGTGATTTCAAATTCTATTTGCAGTGTCTATATCCTCCTATGTAACTTCTTAGCATTAGTGTTAATAAAAAAGATATGCAAAAGAGTCCCATACACATGTTGGCTATGTCTAGAAAGGTATTGGCTATGTTTAGAAAAACTTAGAATTTGCCAAATTTTGGGGTGAAAAAAATAAACACCAAAAGCCTCAGACTGCCTTCGTAACTCAAACTCAGTAACGAAGAATAACAAATTAAACCAGGATCCCCATTTAAAAACAAACAAAAAACCAGACCAAGTACAAGACTGAGTGGTGCAAGTGAACAGTAGTGAGACTGACAAACCATGGAAATTCTCTATTTCTTACCTGACAGCAGTGAATTTTACAGTCCATAAAGGCTCGAGAAAATCACCAGCACAGAAATGTCTCCTTGGAGGAGCTGGATAAACCAAAACCAAAGAGCCCTCCACCCAACCTACCTTTTCTCGGCTGCTGCTACGTTTATGGCGTCCATAATGTTTTTCACAGTGTCTATTATCTGTTTAGCTCTGATAGTGTGCTGTTCAAACTTGGTTTTCACGGCTGACTGCGAGATACACTCCTGCGAGGGGCCCAAGCCACAACACATTACTGCAATTCCGTATTAACACTTTCAGGAATTTCACTGCCACAAAGCACTTGCTGCTATTATCATTAATGTAAACCAAAGGGAAAAAAAAAAAGGAGGAAAGAGGAAAAAAAAGACACAACGGAACTGAAATCTCAAATGGATCTATAGCAGCAAATCTGCAACTTCATGTTCATTCACAGTAATGTGCATAGGTTTCTAAATTAAGCTTTAAAAATGTTTAAAAACAGTGTAACAAAAAAGGCAAACTCATATGCTTAAGTGAGATAAGTCTCTCTCTATGATTTTTTTTCCAAATTATCTGGAATACGTAATGTTAATGCTGGTCATATTATAATATAATGGCATTTAATGGTAGCATGATAATATAATAAATATTCTTAGCCTCAAGAATTAGTTTGTCAATAAAACTTGTCATGTTCAAGTCATTATTGACCATCCAGGAACAAAATATACTATTAGAAACAAGAAAGAAGGATTATCTCACAGGATATAAAGTTGTTAAGTAGTTCTTAAAATATTAGTTCATTCACAGATTATTATGTGCTAAATGTACTAGCAGAGAATACTTCAAAGATAACAGTGGTTCACAAGTTACAGGACATCGAAAATGTATGTCAAATGTTTAGTTTGGGCAACAGCAAATCACTTATGACACACCATTAATTAAGATCTAGGGTATTTTTAGGCAACTGCCCGTAACGAGTTATGTGGCCAGTTAAACAAGTGTGTTTGCACCACACCAAGCCACCACATACTAGCAGTATCCTGTGCGTATGTGTTTGTTCAAGGAAAGAAATGAGCACCTAGTTTCCTTATATTAGAGTTGGAGGGTTTTAGTTGTTTTTAGGCTGCCGGGGCACCTTTCACCGCACAAACAGCACTTAGGTGCCTTTTAGAATACTTGACTAGCACATTAAGATACTTCGTAAAAACAAATTTTAGCCATCTACAAATAAAAGGTGAAAATAAAATAAACAAGATGGGTTAAGCATATCCCCTGTTCCTCGATGAAGCAGATCTAGAAATCAGCAATGAAAGGCCAGAGTTTCATAAATATCAGCACATTGTTAGAGCTAGACTGGACACAGAGGAAAGAGTCTTCCCAATATTAGTGTGCAGTAGATAAAAGGGTGACAGTCACTCACAACACAATCAGAAAATCCAAGTTAGAGCACTAGGAAAAACACAAAGGTTAGTTATACGACTGGAAAAGGTAAGAGGAGGACAGCTGCACATTTGCTATTAGTTTATAAATAGATATTTATGAAAACAAAGACAAAAGCTATGCTAAAACAGCCTAACCAAAACCAGTTACCTTGTAGCCTGGCACACTCAGTGCAGCAAGATAATCTTTACGTGCAGAGCTGACTGCATCCCCATGCAGAACACTGTGCAGTAACACACTACTTGGGGCCACGTTACTCGTACGGGTTGTAGCCACAATTCCTCCTCTGCTCTGCCCCCTCTTCCATTCCCCTTGCCCCATTTCGCTAGCAGCTTCATGAAGTGGCTTGGCCAGCACTGTGCCCTGAGGCAGGCTGACTTGTTCTAATATAATATACGTTATCCAGCGAGAACTACTGCCCACCCTGCAGTGTGCATGTGCTTCTCTGTCATTCTGGTATTTCTAGGTATCTCATTCTAAAGATTTCAGAAGAAAACAGCATTATTTGTCATTATAAATTCACAATCCACTAGCATGACTCAAAGTCCTATGACTGCATACCTTTTTCCCTGTTGTTATACAGCTGACATATATAGTAACATCACTTGTTAAAGCGATGCTCCTCTAAAAATCTTAATTTCACCACTGCTTACAACAAATGATTTCCACTGGTTCAAGGCACGTTGATGTCTGGCCAATAACTTTACCACCACTGTGCTCTGGAGAAGAAAATATTATAGCTATATCTGGAATGTCTTTTGTGCTCAAACAAAACTCTACCTAAATGTAGAGTTAGAAGTCTTTCAAAAATGCTAAAAAAAAAATTCACATATCACAACAGATTAGCACTAGAAGGTTGCTTCTAGATCCTCTAAAGAGTCCAGCTAAACTGAGCTTACAGTCCTGGGAGGAACAGGCTTTCCCATAAAGCTACAGCCCTCAACCACAGGATACTAATACTGAAGTCGGGAATGCAAAAGTATTGGAGAGGTAACAGTTCCTCCTCTCACACCAGGAAGGAAAGAGGAGGAAACTGTCCAATTTTAATGCAGCAAAGATAAAAGTGTGTGGCAGAACAAACAAGACCAGCAGACACAGCTGCTGGAAACGTGGAACTCATTGACATTTATATGGATGAGATGAAGAGACAGTTCAGAGATCTGAACCGGGTGAAATAATGCAGAAGACATTTGGGAAGACTGAGCAGGGTGCCTGAACAGGGAGCAGGAGCTACATGCAGGACAGGCAGACAGAGGCAGAGAAGGGATTAGTGTTGGAGGGAGCAGGCAGAAGCATCTGTGCTCTTGTACAATCCCTTCCACAGACTGAAGTACAATCCAGAGTCTTAGGACTTGCAGCTCCTGTCAGGAAATACACATAAATCCAAAATACTTTAGACCAAGCCTCAGAAGTGCTCAGAATCCATGAACAGCCATACAGACTAGGAATTTGGTCTACCAGCACATAGAGCCTGCTGTCACTTAGGATTTTATTCTCAGTCCAATCACACAAAATTCTACTTCACATTCATTATTCTTTATTACACTACGCTAAGAAGTGTCCTTAGCAGCAGTCAATATAGCTGATGTCGGCGTATTATTGGTATCAGTTACTGTATTAGCTCAAGTGACAGGAATTTGACTGCTAGGTCCGAAGACTTCAGACCCAGTGAGTTGGAAGCATCAGCCCAACTTTAACAAGCAAATAAAATGCCACTAGAATTTGGAAAATGGCTCACAAATCCGCTTTCAAAACTGTAATGTAAGTGGCAACATCAAATACTGAAAATTTAAATTGCCTGGGCAACCTTAACTTTGCACATGTTGTCATATTCCAAGTGATGGGCTGAGATAGTCATCCTGCCACAGCCAGTGTGAATGGCTATGAAGGAAACAGGACTGCACAGGGGAACACATTACAACTGTCAGAGTTGGAAAGTGTTCAACAAATGAAACAGCTAATGTTTTAGGCCACTGAGCATTGTTACAGAATTGGTTTTGGTCCTTACCTCTAGCAAAGACTTTTTTTTCCATGGCTGTGACCCTGACACTTCTTGCCCTGCTAGCTCGCATGAGACCATGGAATCTGATTTGCTGACTGCTAATGGCATCAAATAATTTAATAAATTTTATGGCTATCTCAATTTTTGGAATATCCTAACTGTTGTGTGCTTGATTGTAATTATAAGAGTCTTTTAAAACAAAATTTAGCTACAGCACACATGAAAATATGTAAAAGAATAATGCTGAATTTATGAGCATAGTTATCGCTTTTCCTCCTGGTTGAGAGTTTCCTATTATAAGGCAAAGAACAGAAATTACAAACAAAACACATGTTTGACTATGACTAGTAAAACAAGCAAGAAATGTCACATCCTGAGAGCTTGAGCCCTCCGGGTATCCAAACCAGTAATTTCAACAACTCGGCCTCCTATCACAAGAGTGCAGTTACGGATTAAATTCACACTCAGACGGACACTTTCTTGCTTTTGCAGGATTGCATCATGCTGTTATTTTAACATGGTTTTGATCTGCGTTCATCATTACATAATACGGTTGTCCTTATGTCAAACAAGCTTATGTGGAACATGAGGAAAGGTATTTTTCAGAGGCAGTTTGATCTTTTTAAATATATAGAGCAAAGAGTCACTACTTGAGGTATGTAAAAGGCAGCCTTGAGTGCTTGTTATATAAACTACAGCCACATTGCTCAGACTCTTGTTACATGAGCTATTCTAATACACACCATACAAAAAATAAAGGCCTGTGTTTCCTTAAGATATTCGTGAATGGCCTTAATATTAGAGTTATTAAATTCAACAAGTAAATCAACGCTACCAAAGGAAATCAATCAATTGCCTAGTTAATCCTACTTCTGAAGCAAGTGTAAACTCCAGCTATAAATAGAGCTAATCTGGTGATTCTGTACAGCAAAAAAGATACAAAAGTGTTCAGAGCACCAAAACTGTGAGGTAGATAACAGTGATAATTTCAAAACTATAACTTAATATTCTTTTTTTTTTTTTTTTTTTGTATTTTGAAACAGATTTTCTAATTATTTGTATCCTGAATTAGAGCTTTTAATCACAGAGCTACAGCTTCAGAACAAAATAAGCCTGATGGAGCTACAAACAATTCACCAGCTCATGCTTACAATACTTAAACACTGGTTTTTAGGAGTATTGTCTCCATTTGTATCTTTTTAGATATATTGATATTAAGATCTTAAAACAGAAGTTAAACGTCCAGTTTTGATTCCTTCCCTCATAGAACAATACCTCCTTCGAACAACTACATGCTAGTCAAGCTGAGAACAAAAAAAACAGAGAAAAAGGCAAAGTTTAAATACCTTACACTCTTCCTCTTCTTGACAGGGATAATGTTGAGTAAAATAGAGCTAAAGCAAGAACAAGATTTACCTTTGCACCAGGAAAACAGGCACTCTAAAAAGACTGCCATAAATACCTCAAATATCTGTTCAAAATTTTGAAATTCCTGGAATCTTGTTTGAAATCCTTCAGCAAGTGCTTCTCCTGCAAAACATAAAGAGAACTTAACAGAACGAACCTCACCCCACAGCAGTAATTTTATGTTGAACATTTTCTCAGGTTTGACGGTATTCTTCTGTATCTGAGGAAAAGCAAGAATTCCTACATACCACCCTGTGGCATCCCCTGGGCCTTCTGTCTCCTGGCACTCAGGACTTCTTTTGCTGAGACGAAGAAGATGCGATTCCTCGCTTCTACAGGATCAATGACTTTGAGCTCATCAACCAGGAAAGTGAGGCAGCGCTCCATGTGCTGTCTACGCACCTGAAGAAAAGTAAGTCCTGGTAAGAGGCCACAAATTGAAGCCATCATCAAATCAAAATATCAGAGTAAGATGCAAAGTGGAGCAGATACTGACAAACCCTTAGCAAGCTGTGTGCTAATCCTACCGATGCAGCAGCTGCCCATAACCATTTAAATAACCCTGGAAGCAAAATACTTTCCTCTGCAACTGCCTGTATTGACACTAGTCAGATATTTCAGTCACTGAGGTAACCAATTCATTCCCTACACACAGAGTACTAGGTATTATTGCAGGCAATTTCCAGCTGGAAAGATCTGTTTGACAGCTACTCTGTGCTTTAACAGGTATAATTTGTATGACCAGGTTGCATTACAGAACTAAAAGATAATACAAAGAGGATGTTAAGAATCTTCTTCCCCAGTAAGCTCATTTAACAAGCTCTGCATTGTGTTATATGCCCACATATATTCTAATTTCTTTTACAGGTTGCTTTTTGCTTCCAACAAGCAGAACATTTCCATATTCTGATCAAAGAGCTTACTATTTATTATTAAAAGAAATGTGGCTTAACATGTTCATATGCATCTGGAAGTTCATATGTGTGTGTCAGTGAATGTGTGTGTATATATATACACACACCTACAAGTACACATACATACACATGTACATACAAAAAAGAGCAATGTTATCAATTACAGAAATCTGACTGAAAACAACAAGTGCCATCAAGTCACTCACATCCTCCATGTATTCTGGTTCTGACGCAGAGGCATCCCATCTGTTATTCAAGATGAAAATGTTTGGCTTGGAAAGTCGTTCATTCACTTTATGGAAAAAATGCTTCTCCTAAGAATTAAATTAGTATCAAAAATAAATTACCATCAAACCTCACAAATATCCAACACAGAAATGATTTATGATATTTCAAATGCGATCACATGTCTTAAAATTGATGCCAATGCTAACAATCAAAGATGCTATCTCTAAAATAGATACCAAGTAATAACACTTCCAAAAAAAAATTTAGACAACACTAGAACTTGTTTTCTCTTCATAATACAAATTTGTCTTCATGAGACAAACATAAATAAACTGGAAAACCAGACAAGCACTTTCTCCATTTCTCTAATAAAACTACAACAGAAAAGTCTATGCTCAAATCAGAGCAAGCAAAACTGGTAAGAAAATAGGTTCTTGTTTCCCTAACAAGGGATATATCCCTTCCTCAATCTGACTCACAAGATCTAAATTCAGCAATTGAAGGAAGCTTTGCTGAAGAGTTAATGGAAGTAATTAGGAAACCACTAAATATTTAAATGAAGATTTAACTTAAAAATCATTGCACATCCACACTACACGTACCGTGTTCATGAGGGTTGATTCTGAATTGGCAACCAAGACAAACACATCAGCATCTAAGCAGAATTTGTCAATCCAGCTGTCTAATTCTGTAGTGACATCTGTGCCAGGACTGTGGAACAAAATAGGAAAAAGAAGTATTATCCAGCAAAGGAGTACTTGATTTTTAATAACTGACAAAAATATAGGGAATTTCCTAATGGTTCTATAGTAAGAACCATAAGACAGGAAGCTTTTATGCCTACCTCAAGTTTAAAGGTAGGCATAAAAAACAAATTTAAAAAACCTACTATTTAACACCACTCATTCATTAGGCTATTCTTTCCAAAATGTTGTTTTAAATGAATATATTTATCAATATAGGCATGGAAAAATAACATAATCCTAACAGTCTCAAAGGACAGTCTTCCTCTCCATCTCCCAAGTATTAAGTTTCAACTGAACAGGCCAGTTCTTGATAAAATAAATCTCTTTTTAAACAGATCTAATCATCAGTTTTAGGTCTAGGCAGTTTGCATAAAATAACAATCTAATCAAAATGAATTTAAGACTGGAATGCTTTGTCAGTTTTTCACAAATCAATAAGGAATGTAGAAATTAGAAATGAGAGCAAGGTGCCTCATGCTTGCAACATCTCAGTTCAAATTTGTTGCATTTAACAATTAAAACAAAACAAAACCAAAAAAGATGGCTTTCTCCTCACATGTATCAGCTTCACTGTTTTTCAATCTCTTTTTTTTTTTCCTTGGCATTTGACTTTTAGCAAGCAAAACCATAAAGCATGACTTGCTCTGCACATTATACCCATGCAAGGATCACTTCTGGGCTTCCAGGACCTCCTGTTACGCAGCTGTCCCGAGGAGAGAGCACATCTGCACAAGCTGTGAACTTCATCAAACAACAACTTTTGCCAGACAGGCTGGTTTCCTTCAGTTACTAACACGAGAGCTAAGTTTGCACCCAAGAAAACAACAACAAGATCCCATGGATTTCAAAGGTGAAAGACCACAGACGTGACAAAAAGCACTATTTTACTGATTTTGCTCACTATGAAGAAACTTGTTTTACGAATTCACTTGTAACAGTGACATCTATACTACAGTCCTATCTTAAGATATAGATCACCTAAGAATTTGAAAAGAAATATTACTGGATTATACATAAAAGTGGCTACGAACAGAGACATTTGACATAGGCAAGGGCAACACCTTTCAGAATCCTTTAAATATATAAACTATGGAAAAAATGTTCTAACACACAGGCACAAATAACCCACATACTGACCATTATGTTTCAAAACAACCATTACTTGGGAATCTAAGCATAGCATCTCTCATCGGAAGCTGTTAAACACAAAGCCCTTACACTCCTTACACTTCACCTGATCAGTCTGAAGAGTTTGAAGGACAGGGGACTGGCCAAAGGGTTACAGCTGCTGCAACAACCCTATCAGCATTTCCATACTCTTTGTTTTAAAGGAGGAAGTAAAACTCAGCCAAAAGCTAGTCCCTTATTCAGCTCTGTCACAGGTCACTTTTTTGTTCCAACTGTTACGAGGCCAAAATCAGCAGGGTGATGACAGGCAGCAGTACATACAAGAGAACAAACTCTGTGCTCTTAAAGAAAGAAAGACCTCATAACAATTTCACAACCTAATAACCAAAAGAGAAACACAGTTAGTTAACCGGTGTCTTATTTGAATATTATTAGAGCCAACATATTTGGGAAAATAATAAAATAGTAGACATACCTGTCCACTAAAACCAAGTCATCTCTCAGGAGGGCACATTTTGACTTGGGCCAAAAGACATGGACAAGACAGCCAGCTTTCAAATCTTTGTCCATGTGAAGCGCATGGGCAAGCTGGTTGACGGTCTAAAGAATAATGAGAGAGGAGACAAACATGCAATATGCACAGTGAGTTAGGCTTACACTTTAGTAAGGCTTGAAATCATTGTTAAAAGAGACTTCTTGAAAACTCAAGTTGTGAAAAGCAGTGTTTATCATTTAGAAACTCTACCTTGACACTCTTCTTTTCATCTGAACCTTCTGTCATAAGATAAGCCTTATCTCCATCTGTTCCTTCCACACTGAGGAAGCAGTTAGTCGTATGGCCAATGCCACTAGGAAGCACCTTATCCCACAGCATGGCATTAATGACTGAACTTTTTCCACTGCTCGTTCTACATGGAAAGAAAATAAAATCACTTCAAGCAAATCATAGCAAAAGGCATGGTGCTGTAGTATGAAAGGAGCATGGTCAGTAGTAATGCCTTCAGTTCCATTTCAAAGCATTGCCACTGTCTGGGAATGCTCATCACAGCCAGTGACAACTGAGACCAAGTTAATGGACAATATTCTCAACTGAATGAAGATTTCCACTGCACGACATGAAACAGTTTGCAAAGACAAACAAACAAACGAAAAAACAAACAAAAAAATCACACGTATTGCTTGTAGATAACTCTCATAACGCTAATGCTCTCTTTAATCATAAGACTTAGTCTTATCCTCATTTTAGAAAGAAAATGTTAGCTATATTAACTAAAACCCCAGGAATATCTTGCAATATCCCTCTCTGCATTAACCTTATACCCCTCACCCATAAAAATCTGTGGCTAATCTACTATTGCACAACAGGATGCCATGAATGCAATATAGATTGCAAATTTTTTTTGAGCTATTTCTCCTGGAAGAGCAACTTGGTTCTCATTGCAAAAAGCCTTTTACAGATGTGTTCCAAATGTTTCTCTGAAAATCTCTGCACTGTTCTGGGAACACAGTTAAAGTTTATACAATTCCTTTTTTTCCCCCTGCGCTTTAGTACTGCTCTTTGCAAAAGCAATATTTACTAGCAATCACAGCTGTAAATTCATTTTTCTTTCAACTCTGAAATGTCAAAATTCACGTACAACCACTTTTCTTACCCCAGGTCCAGTTGCTCTTTAATAGTTGAACTACTGTTAGCAAAGTGAAGGTAAAAAGAACAGTGTTGTACACATTTCCTTAGTATTAATAAGGAAAAATCTTTATGAAAACATAAAGATCCATACTGGAGAAAAACATGTTAAAAAAAAAAA